GAAGGGGTTATTCCAATAATAAATTATCCTCTGGATGAAGAGATTAATTTGATGTTCAACATTTTTTCCTCTCGTTTCTGCAGTAAATAGTTCAATGACACATTTCAGAGTACACACTGTAATTTCTACTCCAGTTTCACGTATCCCAGTTTGTATCCCATCATATGTCAAGTTATTTCCTGCAAGGGACAGTAGACATTCCTGGGTAGTGTAGTTCAGCAGCAGCATGAACTTCCAATCAGTAAACAGTAAAAGCAATGAATCTGCATGCCCATACATTCTTCAGACCAGATTGGCTAAAAGTTAAAGCTCAATTTGGTTCTCCAAGGATGATATTAAGTCTGTAGAGAATAGTGCTTTTACTGCGAGTCCTGGCTGGTCAGGGTCCACTTTGCTACACTGGTTTAAAGGTGAGTTTAGTTTGGAAAGCTTGAATCCAACTCTCCACTACCCACGTGGGATGGCACGATTTGCCAGAAAATGGTATGATATACTGCACAATTCTTACAGAAGAAGTTTCTGGACAGGGTGATTTCTATCCCATATAGAAGCAACACTCCTACTCCTTTCAACCAAGAACTTCGTGTGTTCTGCTCAGATGCACTAGCTCCTTCAAGCCAGGAATTGTTCTTTTGATATCAGAGCTCCTTCTTGCCCAGCAGTTCCCGCAGTGCTTATTTTCTACTTTTCCAATGATTCCACTTGGACATATTTCCTCTTATTAAAATCTCTTCTAAGTTAAAATCAGTTCCTCATTATTATAACCTCTAGGATAATGTCGCTAAACTTCTTCTCTGTACCCTTCATGTAAGTTTCACATTTATTTCCTGTCAAGCCCAGTAAAATTTTGGCGTCCTCAGAATCCTTATCTCCTTAGTCTCTCTCTTCACCTTCCCAAAACCTGCCTTTGCCGACTGACCGGACACATTTTCCCCTTTGTTGCACGACAATCCTTTCCTACTCCTTTCTCCTCTTCAGTTACCCCATTGGTATTCACTCCCCTCTGCCTTCCTGCAAAATTTTACGGGAAAAAATGTATTTCTCATTCCTCTTCCCAATCCGGACGTCACCCTCTCTGTCTCGGTCACTTTTCCTCTTTTCCTCCCCGATCCCTTTTTCTTCTCCTGAACCTTGCAAACCTTCTCACAATCTCCTCCGGCATCTGCCCCCCAGCTGCTTTGGAGCTCTCCACCACATCTGTCCTGCCCCGGCTCCTACCACACATCCCGAAGCCTCCCTGCCCGTCCCACCCTGAGGCCGGCCCCAAACTCCATCCCCGGCAGCGGACCAAGCGCGGCGGAGCCAGCCCAGCCCAGCCCAGCCTTGCACTGTCCAGCCTTTCCCTGCCCAGCCCAGCACTGTCGCTCCGATAAAGCGCAGAGCTTTGGGATCAGGGCGCCCTCCAGAGGCACCGCAGAGCCCTGCCCTGCCCTGCCGGGCCAGCCGGAGCCGGGGACCCCCGGCAGGGACGCGGCGCAGCGCAGGCCAGGGCAGCCCTGGCGCTTCCCACGCCCGGGGAGCGCGGCCCGCCCGCGGCCCTTCCATGTCCGCTCAGCGGCTGGAGCCGAGAGAGGCACGGCGCCGCTCGTCTCCCGCCCCCTGCTCGCCTTCTCCTTCTCCTCCTCCTTCTCCTCCTGGCGCCCGCCCTCTGTTCCTCCTTCACTCCCCGCCGCGCCGGCGAGACCGCGAGAGCGGCGCCCGCCCCGGCAGGGCGAGGGAAGGCGGCGCAGCCCGCGGGCAGGAAGCTGGATGAGGACGTGCGTGCGGGCGAGGCAGCCCCTGGGGCATGAAGGGGACCGCGGGGACGCTGCCCTGCCCTGCAGCCGAGCGGGGACATCAGGTAAGCGCTCCGAGCGCCTGCCCGGCCCCAGCCGAGCCCGCACGCTTCCAGTGCCGGAGGGAGCAGGCGTGCCCTGGAAAGTTGTCCTGCCGCCGCCGGCCGAGCGGCGAAGGCAGGGGAGGCGAGCGGGGGCTGCCCTGGGTGTGGGGCGGCACATCGGTGTGTCGGCAGGAGCAGCTTGGCGCTCCGGTGCCTCAGAGCGGTGCCCCGGGCTGTGCCTCCCGGCGGGAGCGCTGGGAGCGCGGCCCTGGCATCCCGCGGCCCCCGCGGCTCGGCTCCGCTGTCAGCGGAAAGTTTCCAGCAGCGTGAGGGGCACAGGGAAGCGGCAGGGGATCGCCGCGGGACGGGAGCGCGGCCGGGGACAAACAGCCTGTCTGTGTTGTAGTGGGTGCCGCAGCTTCTCCCCCCCGGCTGGGAAGCTCCCCCCCAGCAGTTCGCTCAACTTGTTTAGTTGTGGTCACTCTGGTTTGTTGGCGGAGGAGTAGGATCGAGTATCCCTGCAAGTGTCATGTCGGCATCTTTAATGGCTACATCCTACTCTTCTGTGAGATTGACCTACCTGCTTGTGTCAGTTTAGGTGTGTTTAGGGAAAACAAACTGCGGAGTCTTACCAGAAAGAGACGCGCAGCAGTGCGCCTGAGACTTCGGTGTGTTTGTTGTGTTGTGTGACGTAACAGAGAATGCGACTGCTGCTCTTCTGGATTCGCATTTCGTTGGGGCTTTTTAACTGAACATTTGTGGATTAAGAAACTTTCAGTAAAATGTGTGAATCATCATAACACTGTTGGAGATCAAATCCCGGTTTTAATGTTTTGCGATTATTTTCTTCCCCCTTTGCTTATAATTTATATAACGGGCAGACTCAAGTAGTTTGCATAGTTCTTCTGAAGTAACTTAAGGAATCAAAAGTGAGCCGAGTTCCCCACAGAGGTTCTTGGCACCTTTGCTGCAAAGCAAAAAAACAACACTGAACAACTTTAAAGAAAAGTAACTAATCAAACAGTCTGTACCTCGGGAAGCCTCCTTCTCTCCCAGCCTGAACAAAAATGTGAACATTGCAAATTGCACTGAGAGTGGAAAGATTCAAGCCATTTCAAATGAGGTAGTTTCACCTTACAGAGAATGCTCTGTGCTAGCTCACTTGGTTTATTGGAGATAGTCTGCCTTAACTATCAGCTGCAGTTCTGTTTTACTTACAAATTTTCAAACACCGAGGTAATTCCACAATATTTGTTGCAAAATCTGAAGGAAAAACTTCAGTGCAAATAACCTAATTTCAGTAGTTGAAAGAAGTATGAGTAGCTTTTTGGTTTGGGGGTTTATTCGCTTGGTTTTTAATAAGAACAATTTTGAAACCAGATTTAGGGGAGCATTCAAAAGCAGACTAGATTTTGCAACGTATATCTGTTGCTGCAGGTAATGCCTGATTGTTGAATATTGATAAGGCACCATACTTAAGGTGATTTTCAGGTTGGGACTTTTCGTAATAGGCACATGGATAGATTCCTTAAGAAGGTCTATCATAGTTAATGACCCAATGCAGCTCTAAGACTTCTTTACATGTGCTCAGGCTTTTATTAATGGACTTTTATATTACATTAAGGTGAGAGAGGGCTGAGGAAATAGAAGAATAGACATGTGTAAAACTTGAAATGCTTCCCATTTTGCTGCGTTTTGTTCATTGGTTGGGTTTTTTTATTTTTTTCTTTTTCATTGTCAGCTTCAAATACAACATCTCTGTAGGCTTTCATCAAGCGGCAGGCTTTATTAAACATATGATACAATTTTCTATTGTAAAATGTTCTGTAGTTCTTACTTCCTTGAAAAGATAAGATATGACTAGGGAATTATCATTTTTCTTGACAGTGTGACAGTTAAAACTTGGTTCACATAGGAGGGAGCATGTGTAGTGTATTAAAAGGAGATGTCATTCTGAACTGTCTGACAAACTTTTCAATGTGTATTTTTTTTTTATGGAGGTGAATATATTGCTTGACTATATCACCTCTAGGATGCAACTAGGATGTAAGTATGAATTGATGTAGTGATGTTGGGTCTAATTTAGGATTTTTAGTATAGTTTTAATATTTAGAAGCCTATGGATTGAGTGCTCAGTTCTATAACTGGATATTTGAATTAATTTTATTCATATCAGCATTTTAGTTGAATTCACAGAAATACTGGTACTTAAGCTATGCAGAAGTAGAATATGGATAGAATATACTGAAGCAAAATGCTTTGTTTGCTAATAAGATATCTGTTCTGATAACATATCCAAATGGGGTATGGGAATTGCTGTCAAAAGTTGAGCTCATGTTAGAAGTCAGAACCTTAAATGTAGCCGGGTGTCCAACAAATGTTCTTTTACAGCGTGTGAAACCTTAAGCAAAGAAAATGGCCAGGTGAAGCAAGGGGAGCATAGAAATACCATTAAGGTATGGAAGTGTGGGAAGTTAGGTAAAGGGGGAAAAAGGAGGAGGAATCTAGGAACTGAGGGTTTGATGTTTTTTTGTTTGAGGGGGAGCTTGTTTGGTTTTTTAACACGTACATTTGCTCTGAAAACAAAGTTATCACTTTTGAAGGTAATGTGCACCTTGAGGATTTCAGGTAAAGGTGTATGTGAAAAAAGAGGTGAGGTATTTGCTTTTACCTGAAAACTATGGTTTCATATAAAGAGCTTTTTTTTTCCTTATAGTTCTGTTTGCAGACCTTGTACTGCTACATTTAACTACATCTCTTGAACCATGATAGAAAACTTTTTACTTCATTGTTAAAGCCATTTGGTGTGGTTAGAGTAGATAAAATCCTTGCAAAACTAGTTCACTGTTTAGTGGTTTTACAGATGCCAGAAACTGATAAAAAGTAGAATATACTGGCTAAAGAAAATTGTGTCTTAGTTACAAGTTCAGTTCCCAGGCACTGAGAAGTACATATGATAAATATGTAAAAAGACAGGGCTAGATTCAGGGAAAGGATTCCTTCTGGTCACCACAAACAAGTAATATTCCTGCAGAATGAGCTTTCATTTTGCATGCACATTCTGGGTGTTGGTTTCCTCTCAACTGAAAGACTCCTGATTATTTAATTTTTGCTTTCTTTGTCACCTTTTTTAGACCTTTAGTAGTTAATATTTTGTGCTGAATTCCTCTAATTTCTCCCTTTATTCCATAGGTAGAGAATGTTCTGTAAGGAAATTACAGCTGTAGCCTTACCGACAAGTAAACTGTAAAGATTAGCTTCAGTTCAAGGTAGTGTGTTGTCTTTTATGCAAGAATGTAGTTTTGCTGATCATTTTTACTCATGATAACTCTAATCACCAAAATACCAGAGTAGCTATACACTCTGTGTCTTCATCTAGTATTTTCTCAATTGATTAATTTTAGTTAAACTATTTACATTATTTAATTGCATCTTAATTTTCTCCTAGATCATGTTTTCAGTTTGACATCATTATTCTGAGTTTTAGTCCTGTATACCAAGATTTCTGGTCCTGGCTTCTAGATCTCTTTGGCTTAATGTCATGCTTAGTTGTGAAAACTATATTTTTGTCACTTCTGTAACTTCTCTTATTAATAAGTGATTAATATCTATCAGGAAAGACTAGGGAAGCCTTCTGTTAATATGGTAATGTAACTTATTTTCTTAATTAGCCAATCTAATGGGTTTCAGTCCATAGGTATTATAAGAGTGTGTAAATATGGGTGGAATCATCTTTTAGAAGCTATTATGAGGTCCAAAGCAGGCATAGTATGTATATGTTTAAGAAAGGTTTTGTTGCAAAACATCATAGCTTTAAAGGAAAGAAACTGCTTTTAAATTTAGGAATTCTTTTTAATACAATAGTTTTACTGAGCAACCAAACACCTTTTCCTGAACGTCAGGTCAAAATACTCCTGGGCAGTGTCCCTTGCAATTGTATCCTGTATACTATTTGTAATTAAAATGCTATACACAAACCTCATGAAAATTAACAAGGTAATAGAAGTGCTAGTTTTACTTTATTTTTCTGACAATTATTTGTAGTAAGTGAAGGGGTGTATGGCACTGAAAACTTTAACAGACTTTTATGATAATATGAAATCTGATGCTATATTTACCTGCTTTCTACAAATTTGTAAGGTCTTAGGTTTAAAAGAGTGATTCTGAACATCTAATTATTTTTTTTCCACTTCACTGAATTGACTCACTGTGATGTTCCAAATTAATATATTTGTCAATATTGCAGTCAGGTCACATTACACGTATCAGCCTCTGAAATTGAAGAATTACTTTTGGAAACTTGGATATATGTGAGTCGTACAGAAGTACCTAAATAAATTTCATGCTTGTGATTGTGTTAAGCATTCCATACTTCTGAGGGTGTATTTATTATAAATAATTCTGAAAACTTCATCATTTCATATCTGTATAAAACTGGAGAGATAACTTATTTGTTTTCTAAGAATTTCACTGTGGAATTTGAATTTTGTATATTGAACACCCTTGCTATTATCAAAGGTACTGTAAAAACATGGTTTTCTATGATGAAGGAACTTCGAGGAAAAAGTTCCAAGATTCAAGAAATTGCTCAATGTACACTGAAAATCCTGTTCATTAATCTAAAAATGACA